CAAGCATCCTCACTCCGTTGTCATTCACTTTGTCTTCTCCGTGCTGCCCGATCGCCTGTCCTCTACTGGAAGCTTTCCCTACTCTGGAGTTGAAATCGCCCACCATGACAACTTCTCCCTTCCTACTGAACCTCTGGACATCTTCCCCAATTTGTCCAAAGTTCTCCTGCACCTCGCTGGGGGGCTCGTTTTTCATGATCATGTTCGTGAACAGCTTCTCGCGATGGATGAAGCTGTACGGCATGAGGCGTAAGTCGGACACCCTCGCCTTCGTCAAGAAGTTCCTCGCCGACATGAGTGGCACCGGCGTCCCTCGTTCTTTCCGGATGGACAACGGGGGGGAATTCGTCAGCCGCGACTTCATCGCCTTCTGCGACAACGCCGGCATCCGCCGTACGTACACGGCGCCGGGCACCCCGCAGCAGAATGGTCCGGCGGAGAGTGCGATTCGCGTGAACAAGGCCGGCCACGCCGCTCGACTCGAGGCACGCCGCCTGTTCCCCAAGATCGACTTCACCCGCGTCCCCGGCTTCGGACGCGATGGCGAGCGACTCCGGCTAGAGTCGTGTCACTGGGCTGCCGGCGGCTTCAACCGTTCTCCGACCAAGGCAAACGTCGGGTACAAGTCGCCGTACGAGCTCTTCACCGGTCGCCCGCCCCCGCTCCAGATCGTCCCCTTCTCTCAGTCGGGGTACATGCGTGTGATGCGCGCGCGGAAGATGGATCCCCAGGCAGTGCTGTGCTGCTACCTCAACAACGGCGACAACCATCACGAGTCGGCGGTCAAGGTCCTCAAGTTCGCGACGGGGCGCGTGTGCATGACGANCCCCGCCGCTGGAGATGCCGGCGCCGGCGGGCGAGGAGGGGGATTCGGATGTCGCCGCCGCACCGTTTCTAATTGAGTACATTTCACTGCCTCTTTTACCCCCCTCACCGTTCGCCCGATATCCCAATTCACCCGCTGCCATATCCTCACAGGCGCCGCCGGCAACTTCCACACAACCATCGCCGGCGGCGCCGTCTACCGCAGCCACCCCATCGCCAACGGCCACCGCGTCGCCTGCAATGCCACCTGCAACGCCACAGTTCACCACCACCGCGCCGCCTGCAACGCCGTTCGCCGTCGTGCCACCGTCTCCCGCCGTCGCGCCGCTCGGTGCCGCGTCATCGACCAACATGCCGCCGCTCACTACGAGGATCATCCGTGAATTAGACGTGGGGCGCGGGGACATGAGGGTTTCTGGGCGCACGAGGGCAGCCGCTAAGGTTTAAGGGGGGGGGCGGGCGTCGTCAATGCCGCCCCTCTCTGCCAGGGGCAATCGAGAGCTGGACTTCGGACGAGAGACGCGGGTGCCAGGGAGATTGAGGGGTCGGGGGTTTCGTTTCCAGGACAGGGGGGCCGAGCGGTCGACGTCACCTGGCGGGAGCGGTCCCGCCCACCGCTTCGGGCTTGTATCCCTACAGCACAAGGCAACGCTCCTGTCGACTCTCACCACTCGCGGCGTCGTCGATAGGGGGAGAAAGGAGATCCCGAGTTCAGCCGGAGGACGTGAAGGAGCGGAGCCGGGGGGGCGAGAGCGTGGGGGCAAAAAACCAGAAGGACTGGGTGAAGAAGTCCCATTTGCGTGCGCCACCTTGCTTGCCTCCCGCGAGGACATTGATCGCGCGATGATGGATATAGATCCTCCGGAAGTGGCACCGGACTTGCCACAGTGCTACGCGAGCGACTTGCGCGTGCCCAAAACCGATAGGGAGGCTGTGTCCTCTCAACATGCTGACTTGTGGATACACTCTGTAGAGAAGGAGTGCAGAGGTNGCACCGGACTTGCCACAGTGCTACGCGAGCGACTTGCGCGTGCCCAAAACCGNGCGCCACCTTGCTTGCCTCCCGCGAGGACATTGATCGCGCGATGATGGATATAGATCCTCCGGAAGTGGCACCGGACTTGCCACAGTGCTACGCGAGCGACTTGCGCGTGCCCAAAACCGATAGGGAGGCTGTGTCCTCTCAACATGCTGACTTGTGGATACACTCTGTAGAGAAGGAGTGCAGAGGTCTGATGGAGGCTGGTACCTTTGAGGAAGTAATGTAGCAACCGGAAAGTGTTATCAAGGCGAAGTGGGTGTTTGATTGGAAGTCTGACGAGTATGGATGGCCAACCAATGTGAAATCACGGCTCGTAGCGAGAGGAGATATGCAGCGAGTACATGTAGATTGTGGAGAGACGTATGCACCAACTGTAGCGGTTTCTAGCGTTCGCTTGTTGGCAGCGATGGCATGTGGGCAAAATCTTTCTCGTCATTTTGACATCAAGCAAGCATTTGTCCAGTCGGACTTGGATGAGGATGTTTTCATGCGCCTGCCAGAGGGGTGTGGTAGATTGTCAGGCATGATAGTGAAGTTGAAAAAGAGTCTGCATGGCCTCAAGTAGGCATCAAGGCAATGGCATTCACACTTGGCGAGGTGTTTGATTTGTTTGGGTTTTATTCAGTGTCTGGCGGATACGTGTGTGTTTCGGTTGATCGAGGAGGGAAGAGTGGTAGTGACTCTGGTAGTACATGTGGATGATTATTTTCGATTGGAAAAGAGGAGAGGTGTGACCAATCTGGTAGGGACCTCAACACCATGGTACCTGTCAAGAATCTTGATGACTCGAGGTGGTACTCTGGATGTTTTTATGAGAGGGATTGGGATGCAGGGACTTAGAAGATCTCGCAGCAGACGTACGCTGAAGAGTTGGGGATGGAGTTTGGGGTAGAGTACGGGAAGAGGAATTTTCTCTTCCTGTAGGCNTGATCGAGGAGGGAAGAGTGGTAGTGACTCTGGTAGTACATGTGGATGATTATTTTCGATTGGAAAAGAGGAGAGGTGTGACCAATCTGGTAGGGACCTCAACACCATGGTACCTGTCAAGAATCTTGATGACTCGAGGTGGTACTCTGGATGTTTTTATGAGAGGGATTGGGATGCAGGGACTTAGAAGATCTCGCAGCAGACGTACGCTGAAGAGTTGGGGATGGAGTTTGGGGTAGAGTACGGGAAGAGGAATTTTCTCTTCCTGTAGGCTTGAAGCTTTCAGAGTTTGACCAGGATGAGCAAGTGGTATCATGGCCTTTTCGCGAGCTGATAGGATCACTGATGTGGGTGGCAACGCAAACGAGGCCAGATATCGCGAGGGGTAGTGTAGCAGGGTTGAGCATGGAGGTGTTCGCAGACGCAGACTATGCAAGTAAGGCTGCCGATAGGAGGTATGTGTCAGGAGGATTGGTGATTTGTGCGGGGGGATGTATTTCTTGGTTTTCAAGGACGCAGGAGTGCGTTACGTTGAGCACGACAAAGGCGGAGTATGTCTCCCTTGTGGATGTGATGAAGGAAGTGTTGTTTCTGAGGCAGGTACGGCGTTTCATGTTGCCAGAAGCAGGTATGCCGTGTATTCCGGTGTTCGAGGATAACCAGGGGGCTATTCAGTTGGCGCAGAACCCGAATAGCAACAGTAACTCGAAGCACATCGACGTAAGGCACCACTTTATCAGAGAATTGGTAGGCAGGAAGGAGATTTCGATTTTTCACGTGGAATCAGCGTATCAACATGCTGACTTCCTCACGAAGGCACTTAACGCCGGAGATGTTGAGTTTCATCGTATTTTCGTGATGAGTGTTGGACAGGAACAACGGCAGATTTGGATATATTTGTGTTTGATCAAAGAACTAGGGTGGCATTGTTTTACATTTTTGCCTATGGTCTTCTCAATGGATGATGTTCTAGACTGGGGGGCAATTGGATCGCTATGACTATCGAAGAACTACAACTGGAATGATCGGGGATGGAAATATATTTCTATTATACATATATATATGTATTTGCCTTCCGACAATTGCAGATGTGCCTCAGAAAACGTTCACTTAGTGTCTCATACTCTACATGAATATTAAACCAATACGAAGTACAACAACATGTGTAGACTTATTTCTACTGTCACTGACATCGTAAAAATATCTCCTCAACTTGAAATAAAACCAATGACAATCCTCAAGGTATCCGAAATGCGTTCGTAAGCTTGCTAAAATACTACTACTGTGCTGATAGCCTCTTGTAAAAAAAGCTGAAATCCAACAAATGCTTTGATCCATGCTACATCTCCGTGTTGGAAAAGCCCTTTCTTCGCCGTTCATGATAACATCTTACCCTATTCTACGCAAATCTGTCCCATTTACTCTCAAACAAGACGCCAACTTCAAACGAAAACGCATTCTACGATGCGTCTACACTCCATCCCCATATCATTGGCGTTGACTGGTCCGAGGTCGATCTTGTTCGCCTGTTTTCGGCGTCTTGACGCCCGCGTAATGTGAGCTTGTACCTCTGCACTCGCCGAGATATGGCCACCTGTGTAGCCACCGAAACGATCTGAAGAATTTCTATTATATTAATAGGCCAGAAGGCTACTGTTGCAGATTTGAGTTGTGTTTGGATTATTTTCTTGTGTTTTGGAGTTACTGAAAGATCACGGAGACATGGCATAGTCACAAGCAGGGTGGCTNCTCGCCGAGATATGGCCACCTGTGTAGCCACCGAAACGATCTGAAGAATTTCTATTATATTAATAGGCCAGAAGGCTACTGTTGCAGATTTGAGTTGTGTTTGGATTATTTTCTTGTGTTTTGGAGTTACTGAAAGATCACGGAGACATGGCATAGTCACAAGCAGGGTGGCTGATAGATATACTTGTAGCAATGCCAAGTGGTTGGTGCGGGATGTTCCCATGGAATGAAGTCGAGCGGAATACCGGGTGACATGTGTGGTACGTAGAATGGATTCAAGGGATGTACAAGGTACCCCTCCCTGTTGTATGCGGCGTCGCCCCCTCAACGGGGCTTGTCTGTGTAGCATGTGGATGCAACTAATCAAAACATTTTTTTCTCCTCGGCGCAAGCCCGCCAAGTTGCCGACACCCTATTCAACACACGTCTTGCGACAAGCTACCCCCACTTCGGATTATCCTTACACACTACTGACCCTCTGCTACACTTGCTGATACTGATGCGGGTGCTGTACCATAGAAGTTCACCAGCCTTTTAGGACTGGTACCGCAAGGGTGGGGTGGTAAGGGTGCATGCACCCCACAAAAGCACAACGATGTGGGCAGATAGATGCTCAAGGACGGGAGGCAATTGTGGAGGCATGCACAGAGGAACGTGATATATTGAGGTATGCTTGTACATCGACGCCGTGTCGGTGATACGGTAGACTATGTAGCCATCGCTTTGCGGGGGTCAAGGCGATTTTCTCTGGTAAACAAATGCCGGTAGAGACAGACAGATGTAGATGATGCCCAAAACAATGCGCTACTACAGCAATGTACTCTGTTGTGAATGGGTGCTGCTCTTCGTGAGCGTTGCGAGGGCATTTCTGTATGCTGGTGGCACACAACAAAGGAACTACTAACAATTTTGCGCTGGTCTCAACAGCTTGTCTCTCTATTCTATTGTTGAGCACGTAAACGCAGGACAACCGGTTGACGACTATAGATGCGTTCCTCACACTACATATCATAGCATACAAGGCCTAGCAGTCTACTGCAGCAAATTACCGTAGCCTACGTATGACCACCGGTCGCCCCGGTGGTCTAGTGGGTAACCTCGCAGCCCGCTAAGGGCCAGGTCATGGGTTCGAGTCCCGGCAGAGTGAGTATTTTTCTCTCTCAATTATTCCTGGTCTAGTCTAGGATGAAAGCGACGCGCTGCAAAGCTCGCTTGTTAGTAAGCCATAATCAACTTCGTAAGAGGGAAGGGATTGCTGTATGTACCCTTCTCGCGACAAAAATACGTCAGGCAGGAACCGCAGGAGGGGGTCCAGCCCCGCCCTCCTATGTGACCCCGGTTGGGTCGTTTAGCTGGTAGAAGTGGAGGATAGGGGCCAGAGGGGCAGACGACAGTGTCCAAAGACGGGAGAAAAACAAACAACAAAAACATGCATTCACTTGTCCATAGCACAGGAGCAAACAGCTGTCTGTGTAGACCAGGTGGACTACAGTACTACTGCTGTAGACCTGTAGACTAGACTAGACCATAAATGGAGGGGTGGCCGAAAGTCCACTTTACGGGTTGCATCAATTAGCTGCCAAGCCTTAACCGCCCGATCTACAGCTTCCGTCCCATGCGCCACGGTCAATGCCGAGATATTCGCATCCGTCTTCCCCTACACAAATCGTGTTCGTCGATTCTATTGCCCCAAGGCAACGCTCCTGCTCCAACAAAGATCGAAATTGACTGGTGAAAACCATTACCGCGGTCTGTACATCGTCCTCGGGGCTAAACTTCGCGGTGAATGCAGGGATTGTGATACCTGCGCTAATACGTATTGTTTCTTTAGGTGTTAGGACTTCCCTACATTCATCCTCCGGTTTTATCTTGACCCTCTGCAAGGCCCGCGCGAGAGTGTCGATGAGGCTGACGGTCGCCGGCGATCGGGGTTGATCTTTGGGTCGCAGGCTTGACTCCGAGCCAGCCGACCTCTCCAGCCGGGTGTCGCCTCCTTCGGAAGGCATGCCCTCGCTCTGTGCTGCGGGGCGCTCTACTGCTGCTGCTTCTTCAATTAATTTTGATCTTGACCTGCTCCTTGATAAGAGCGTCGATTACGTTTCGCTGCTCGTCCGAGAGCTGGAGCTCATCCAGCTGCTGCTCCATGATTTCCGTGTCACTGCTGTTGTCTGGCCGAACCCTTTTGTAGCTAGCCCTACCTCGGGATCCCGTATGATATCACACGCTAGCGTGTTAGGATAATCCGAACTGGGGGTAGCTTGTCGCAAGACCGGTCGCCCCGTTGGTCTAGTGGGTAACCTCGCAGCCCGCTAAGGGCCAGGTGATGGGTTCGAGTGCCGGCAGAGTGAGTTTCTTTCTCCCTAAACATATCCTGGTCTAGGATGAAAGCGACGCGCTGCAAAGCTCGTTGTAAGTAAACCATAATCGACTTCGTAAGTCGCGCGGGAAGGGATTGCTGTACCCTTCTCGCGATTAAAATACCCCAGGCAGGAACCGCCGAAGGGAGGTCCAGCCCCCCCCTTCTATGTGACCCCGGTTGGGTCGTCTGGCTAGTAGAAGTGGAGGAAAGGGCCAGAGGGGCAGACGACAGAGTCCAACGATTGTTGTTGTTGTTGTTGTTGTCTTCACATTAAACCGTATGTCAGTTGCTAAATGCCAAAATCTAGCAATGACTCTCAGCCTGTGGTCACGACAGTGCTAGAGCCATCTGAGGATCTAATGAACACGCACACATATAACGAGAAAAAGGTATCATCGAAGAGCTCGAAGAGGTACACCTAAAAATCCCTGCAGCACCGTATGCGTGCCCAAAAACTGAACTGCACGTCCGTCCCACCGTTCGACTGCAGCAGTAGCATCACCCCCTCCCTGTCCCACTCTATACCAAAACGGAAGATGGCCGACTACAGCATAATGCTGTCTGAAGTGCTGTCTGTACAAAAACACCATGGTAGGCATGGAACAAGCAGCTGGCGGGGCACAAANAAAAACACCATGGTAGGCATGGAACAAGCAGCTGGCGGGGCACAAAGCTGCTGTCTGAAGTGCTGTCAGAATGTGTCTGCGGCCGTACAGTGAAAAAGAACAACCAACCAAAGCCATCATAGCAGCAATTAACAATCACCCGAATCTCTCCCGATCGTCTGTGTGGGCACTGCATGCAGTAAAAAATATCGACACTAGCTAAGAACCGTTCCACATTGAAGGGGTCTTCCACGATCAGGCACAAAACCAATGCACCCGGGTTAGCCACGCCATCTCTGACGCGTCTCTCTACAAAACCGGTGACGATGTCACCACAGACCACAGAAAACCAACACGGAAAGTCAGAAAAGAAACGAAAAAAATTGACCACACAGATAGAAATGTTTGTCCGTGCGCCACGGGTCGATGTCGCCCGCATGCTCCGGTGCCATTGCTCCATCCGGCGCCGCTGTAGTCAGCCCGAGCAAAACGCCACTCGACCTGCTCCGTCCGTACACGCTCTCGTTGCTGTCCTTCCCAGTCGGTTCCTCGCTTTCTCCCTCCTTGCACTCAAGGTTCTTGGTCTGAAAAATAAAAATTCTCGCGCCGAAGGGGTCAACCAGCCCAGTTCAGCTCGTCGCCACCTGCTCCCTCCTCCTTTGATGGCGAAGCCAGGTTACTGAGGCAATGCAGCGCCCTCTAGCCAACCTAGGGCCGTGTACATAGTTCCCGTCCACCTTCTGACGGTGTCTGCCTCCGCGCACAAAAAATGAGATGGGCATCGCTGCCTACGCCGACGGCCAGAGGCCCGCGCATCTACATTTTTTCGCCTGACCCCATCAGTGCCGACCCAACTACACCACCACGCGCATGCCTCGCGGCGGATATGCGCAGCAGCAAGAAGGTTTCGGTCATCCCTTGAGGGTGAGTCTACCCCTGCTCGCCAGAAAGACCCCCCCCTTCGCTACAACCCATGTCTAAGGAGGGGAAGAAGGCAGTCCTCGATGGGAGCAAAAAAAAAAAAAAAGCCCCGTTGAGGGGGCGACGCCGTATACAACAGGGGTACCTTGTACATCCCTTGAATCTATTCTACGTACCACACATGTCACCCGGTATTCCGCTCTACCTCATTCCATGGGGACATCCAGCACCAACCACTTCGCATTGCCACAATTACATCTATCACAATTGGCCAACAACGTATGTACGTGTATGTGCATGGACACGAGTCATGCGGCGAGGGGTTGATCGTGGACAGTCTACAGGATACGGCTATTTCGTGGTTCCGGTTTTTCCGGTTTTGGTGGTGGTCGTGTGTGGTGGTGTGTGGTGGTGTGTGGTGAGGAGGTTGTTTGGATACCCCCCCGGGTGTTATTTGTTTGAGATTGGGGAAAGAGCGAGAGACAGACACTGCTGTAAGACTGAAACACTTTGTGCCAGCTGTTGGTTTACGCAGCAAAATCGATTAAGCAAACATATGGGATAAAGTATTCAATCCGTGCTTTGGGGTTAGGGTTAGGGTTAGGGTTAGGGCTAGGGTCGCGTGCCCCTCCCTGTTCTTTTTCTAGATAATCTTAAAATCCCGCGTAGGCGGTCCGTGCCAGCTAAACTCCCAATCAATCAAGACCACCGCTGGAAGAGACAGATAAATCCGAAGGCATCTGCGCCGAACTTGAAGTAGGGAACCAAGCGTCCCCGCCCAAAAACCCCGACAGGCGTGATTTTTTTTGGCGAGACAACCGCACAACGAGCGTCTAGTGCTTCCAACCGCACTGAGACTGACGTATTTTCGTTGGTTGGTCGACTGGTTGGCGCGGTCCA